AAATTAAACAAATAACTTGGTCAAACCAAACGTATTACTTTAGAATAAAGGTTATTTTTTTTGGTGGGTACGTATGATCAGAATGTATGGTCGTAATGTGTGTTCTAAGATTCGATTATGACTTCGTTTGGGTTCGAATCTTGAGGAAGAGGAAGATGGCCTTTCTCTTGCAAGCTCTTGACTGATTCGTAAAGAGATTGCTTGATTGGTTTAAATTCCAAGCCCAAGTCTTTTATCTTTTGAGTAGTGAATTTGTATGGCTTTGCCCTAGGATTCTTCTCGTCCGAACACCTAATAACATTAAAACAATACCATATGTTAATCAACATACGAAAATGTGGATACGAATTCTTGTACATTACTCTAGAAGTAACGTTATTATATTTTTGAACTAACCAAAGGAGACACAAGTCATGAAACTAGTGACCAAACTTTGGAGTAGGTGAAGAAAAAAACTTTTTACACTCTCGGATTTTTGTCAAATGGAGTTAGACCCGTAAGAAGACTACACTTTTTTGGTATAAACACAAAGACACAAAAACACAAACAAGTGTACACATAAGATTTTGTAAGATCTCCACGTAAGCAGTAGGTGATAGATGACATGGACTTTGTGATGTAAAAGTAGTCGTACTAGTACGTATACACCAATCTCCACCACAAGTGCTAATAATAATTTTTAATATACGTGTAATGGGACAATAGTCACACTACCAAATAGGCAAATACCACTCATGTCCCTTTTATCCTAATTGATTATTATTTTATAATTATGAGAAGTATTCCAAATCAAATTCAAAATAGTTTGTAAATCTTTAGAGCATCATCAATGGTAATGTTTAATGGATTTTAATGGGTTTCTAAAAGATTAAAAATAATTAAATAATACACAAAATACTTAGAATCCAAATAAAAAAAATTCTAATTTTAGAAATTTAGAATCCTAAATTTTAGAGATTTAGAACTCCAAAAATAATTTATAATAAAAAAAAAATCACTTAGAAGTTCAAATTAACAAACTACCATTGATTATGCTCTTAGGTTGTATTTATTAGACGGACAAAATCGTGTTGACTATAGTACAAATTTGACCGAAGTGATTAAAGAGCCAAACGTTGACTTACTTGGTCGGAAGTGGATACTCGGGGAAGAATTTAGCCAGAATCTCAACAACTTCGCCACGGTGAAGCGCGGTTTCGGCGAGAATGTAACGGCCAGAGGCAGAGGATGATTCATAGACCATAACATGGGCCAGTGCCACGTCGCGGACGTCCACGTAGACTTGAGTCAAGTTAGCATAGGTCTTGGCTGAGCCGGTTAGGTACTTGAGAATATGGACTAGACTAGCGTTGACCGCTGATTGGAGCGCTGGTCCGAGAACTAGAACTGGATTTAGCACCACCAAATCCACACCTTTCGCCTTTGCGGTCTTCCACGCCGATTGTTCAGCTACCATCTTCCCATAGCAATACCAATTCTACAAGCCAAACAAAGGAAGAAACTCAGTTCCATAAAAAATTCAATTCGTAATCGAGTTTTTGGATTAACTGGTCGAAGAATCCAACTAATTCTTGAGGCATGTATACTACTTGGTAAGGTTTAAATCTTAAAACACCAAGACTGAAACCTAAATAACCAAGTGAGCCACGCGTAGTGTTTATACATGAATAAACTAGAGCTTTGATGAGCTTACGCTCTTGGCTATGGAACCCGGACTATCGAGCCACTATATATTAAGAGACCGATTGAGATTGAGAACGGTCTAAATGACTAACCAAGATTATGGAGATAATCAAGAAAGTTCTAGGTTAAGGAGAAAAAAGACCTTGGTGTTTTTGCAGAATTCGAGATCACTCCAGCAGTTTTCGTCGACTGTGGCTTGAGGGTCACGGTTAGGGTTCATGTAAACTGCACCGATCGATGACGTGAATACCACGCGTTTGACCTTGGCTTTAGCTGCCGCGTCGATCACATACTTTGCTCCATTCACCGCCGGTTCCAACATTGTTTCCTATTCAAACATTACATAAAAAGATTCAAAACTAAATCAAGAAAACAGAGTAGTAAGTACTCTTATGTTCTACGGATTAGAGAATTAGATAACTAACGGGATCATCGGTCATCGGAGAAGCAGTGTGAAAAACGCCATCGCAACCGTCGATCGTGGCACAGAGAGCTTCGTAATCAAGAAGATCAGCACTGTGAAGAGTGAGTCTTTCTTTGGCTCCTTGAAGCTCTCTGAGATGATTGTTCTTGGGATCAGATGGGTTCCTTACGGTTCCTCTTACGGTGTAGCCTCTCTCTAAGAGTAACTTAACAATCCAAGAAGCAATGTAGCCACCGGCTCCGGTGACGCAGACGAGTTTCCCGTCGATAGGCATCTTTTTGAGAGAGAGAGCAAAGAAGAGAGTCTTGAAATGGTTTAGAAGGCTTTAAAAGAGCTTAAGAGAGAGTATGTTGTTGTTATGATGTGTCGTTTTAGAGAGACTTTGTAATTTGTATATATAGAGACTTAGAAAGAAGTTACTATTTTTTCAATTTACTTTGATATGTTTTCACCGAACCATGGTCCATGGTAAAGAGTTGGTGAGTCTACATAACATAATATTATATTTGTTTGAAAAGAAGAACAAACCTGAAAAAAAAATAGTTTTTTATTTCGTTGTGCTTTATTGAAAGAGTGTGGGTTTGGTGAATGAAGAAATGATCGTGGTTAATATTTTATTCAAATTTATGAACACTAGAGAAGTACGATAGTTTCAAAGTTTTAGGTGGTAAGTGTAAATGCATTCCGGAAAAAGGCCAAACAAAATCGTCAACTAAAGGTGTTGTGAATCTGACTTTTACAAAAATATTCCTATATTTACCAAATGTAAAGGCTTAATTGGTTAACTTTTAGGACTTCGAATGCGAAATTGCCAAATATATTTCGACAACAACAAAGAAAATTTGCTAAATAAGTAACAAGTGTTTTTGGCTCTCAAATATATGATATGATAATAAATTTATAATTCAAATATATGGAGTTCTAGAAGACCTTGATACAAAGTTAGTAATCATACGTTCGCTCTTTAAGATCTTCTATACAAATCTATTAGCAATGCTTTTTGATTATTAATTGGTTTATATATCCTTGGTATCATCATCTTCTTTTAAATTTATAACTTTATATATTCCAATTAGAACCATTTATAAAATGGCAAATTGATGAGTTAGTTGAGAATATGGACCTTGACTCACTCTATTGTACCGAAAGACATAAAACCGGGACACAACTTTTTACAAATAGGAAAGTTCCCCTGAACCTTATATCCGTATTTTAATTTGTTAACAAAGATTAATTTTGATGTATATATCTTCATGGGAAAGATTAGTTCTTTGTTTACAATAAAAGTTAATAAGTACATGATTCTTGACCGTTGGGAATTATACATCTTTTGATAACGAATTTTAAAAGGAAAAAGAGGATTAAATAAAAGACTAGAGAACATAATGAATTATATTAGTTTGAGTAATCGAGTAGCCAAACTCCTATAGTTGTAATGTCTTTTGCAAAGTCTTTTCAAGCTACCTTTGAATTATGTTTCAATTTAAATCTAACATGGGTTTGAACAAGAAATAAGTAGGTTAATTATGTTCCAAGTCAATTATGATTTAAGTAATTTACTTTCTATTGAAACTGGTTTATGTTAACTCTACTTTTGAGTATTTGGACAAAACTAGTGTCTCTCATTGAAACCGTGTCCATGGGGTTGAACAAGAAATAATTAGGTGAATTATGTTCCAAGTCAATTATGATTTAAGTAATTTCTTTTTTTTTATTTACAACTGGTTTGTGTTAATTTATTTTGAGCATTTTGTAGACAAGAATAGTGGCTCTCGTCGAAACCGTGTCCAGTCCAAGATTGTTGAATGTAATTAAAACTCAGGGACAATTTCCGAGTGATTTCTCTATCAACTCAGAATTAAAGTCGCACGTGGAAAATGATTTTATAACCGACTGAAAAAAACATGTGGATTCTCTATGAGTAAAGTTGACTTAAACTCTCAAGACATAACACAAACCAAGTAAACTTCATATATCTCAAACTAGTTCAATAACAATCTACTTTAACAAAGAAAAAAAACCAGTGAGTCTTTTTGAAATGGTTTTTGTTTGACAATGCCCCAAGTATAAACTCCAGTTCAAGACTCTCTTCTCTCTTCGTCTTCTTCTTTTTCAATCTCAGACAAGTTTGTGCTTGCCACTTTATCATCAACCAC